TCGTAGGCGTCGTGCGGCCACAAGACAGAGGTTTCTTTGACGAGAAAGTGGACGGTTGGGAGATGACCGTCGGCAACGATGGTTCGTATGCACGTCTGCAAGTCGTGCGGCCCGCGCTCTTCGTAGAGCTGTCGCAAGACCTGTACGCTTTGACTTTGAAGCGCTATTTGCGTTGACAGACGCATGTCGTTCTTGTCTTCAAAGCGGGCATAGTGCCCGTAGTGCGCCGCCACTGTGCGCAGCATCCCGGCCCATGACGTAGCGTTGTCACTGGTGGCCATGGCAGCCGCACGCAACGAGCAGTCGCCGGTTGCCGCCGCATGCAGCGCAATGCACGGAGCGAGCGGCGAGTACAGCTGCATGAGGCCAACGGCGTCATTGAGGCCATGACGCGCTAGCCATGGAGCAAACCGGTCGCGAAATGCAGCGACTTCCTCCTGGAGGTTGGACGACGCAAAGATGAGCGGGTCGTCACGGAAGACGAGGCTGTCAGGCCACCAGCCGTGCTGGTACGCAGTGATGAGGCGGAGAAGAACCGGGTTGCAGAGCGTCGTGTCCATGCGGCAAAGGCAAGTTGGCCGAGTTTGCACTTGCTACTGCCGGCGGATTGTCCCTTGGATGTGATTGGCTGGATGGAACTACGAAAGACGTTCATTCCCAGTCATTCAGCTTCGATCTTCGATTAAAGGTCAGGTCGTATGTTTTCAGCGGCTATATTACTGTAAAGGTCAAAAGCGCGGTTGACTTGACTAGTTGCTCTCGCCGTCGTATTGAGTAAAAACGTTGCGTAGCCAATAGCGTTCCAGCGCCGACCAGTCTGGGGTGTCGTTGGGCACGTCGTGGTGCTGCCTTGGTGGCACTCGACGCGCATTTTGATGCGTCAAGTACTCGAGGAGCGCGACGAAGCGCCGTCTGTAAGTGCTGCGGAGGGCGCCCAGTACATTGAACCCAATCGAGTCGAGGTACACAAGGACGTCGGGCGAGCCGTATTGCCGTATCGACGGTGAAACACGCGCATTTTCCATGACCTCACCCAAGAAGCGCACGACCTCGAGATGCCCTTGCACGACGGCTTCGTCCAGGACGCTCGGCGTCCATTGACCAAGTCCTTGTTCGTGGAGGTAGCGGACGACCTCCAAGTGCCCACGACTCGCTGCGCGCTTCGGTACGTCCTTCAGCACTGGTGTACGCATGACG